CCCCAATAACCAATTCTCAAAGCCATTTATTTACATGTGTATTAACTTTGCGTAGTTATTAGGCACTTACTGTCCTCCACACATGCCCCAGTAAGGAGCAGTTGGCGGCCATGGCGTTGGAGTTGTGGCCAGGTTTCGGTGGCGAACCGGCGGCTCTCCTTAGTCAGGTGGTAAGGAAGACAGTGAAGCCGATAAAGACGATGGTCTGGTGGGCCAGAGAGATCAAATAATAAGCGTGAGAGACGACGGCGGCAAAATACGCCCGAGGAACCGTCGTTGTATGGCTATTGAAGGAAGATAAAGAAACCTGTTTGATAAATGGTAACCACTATTCTTATGATTTTCAAATTCAACTTAAGAAATACTAAAGGATAGTTGTAATGATTGTTAATTTCTATTACACTTGATGAAAAGCCCATAAACTTGAATTTGAATATTATTTCGTACTCAATTTTGAGTCAACACTGATTTATTCCAAAAATGAAGATTCAGCAATTCTTTGGCCTGTTAAACCCAATGTTGAATGGCATTTAACCGGAGGTCATATGAAACATAGCAAAACTATTCAATTTGGCAAGATATTTACCGGAAGTCATCTTTTTCCTATTTTCATTGAGATATGTTCACTTTATTGTAGTAATTCATGTCAATTTCTGGCACTTGACTTGGGTAATAATGGAGAAATGTCACCTAAGGACAAATGCTTGACCGATAGAAGCGTAGGTGATAAAAACGATCAACTGGTAGTATTAATAAAAGCTGACTTTTCATTGAACACATTCTCATTCGTATCCATTTTAGGCGATAGAGTAAAATAGCAATTTCAAATGCGTTTCTTTTTTAATTTGAGAATTAATCGATTTAGCAACCATATTTTGCTTCACTTCCTCTTGAAAGAAAACTTTTATCTGCTCAAATTAGGGAAGATTTATTTTTCCCAGTATTATTGCAGTTGAAAAATGGATTTGCATTTGAAATGTTCAGTGGAGAATTATTCTAGTAGTTTAGGAAGACTCTTCTAGTATTCAAGAACTGAATTTAAGTGATAATTCTTTTTTAATGCTTATTAGCAGTTGACAAAAATTAGATCAAATTAAGGGAGCCAGATCTCAACACACCATCCATGTTACGCTGCTAAGCATAAAATTCAAATATAATGTAATAAAGCGTCTTATCTAAAATTTAAATAACTTTACCTTTGGTACTTAAAGTGTATAAGTAGACACGGGAGACAGAATAAACGAAAAAATTAGCATCATAAGACATGACCTGACCACTTCTACATCGTTGGCGTTGTCACAAACAAACATTTAAAAGTCAAAATCTGGAGCCGTGCATCTATAAATACTATCCCATTGATAGAAAGCAGGATGCGCGTACTTTCAGGTTCTATGTCCAATAGTCAGCATGTAATAAATATGCAAAGCAAAAAATCTATCCAAGGAAATACTTAATTATGGAAATTTGCTTCAGAATCTGACATTTGTCTCCTTAAACTACGACTTATTATTAACCACAGTTAAAAATTCTTATTGCAAATAGTTTAAAGATACCTGAAGTACACCTCCAAGAAGATGACCCATAAGCCGGTTGAGTTCAGTAATTGGAACTTGATCAAGCGCTCCTCGAGTCGCGCCCCTTTGGCATTTAGGGAGATGGCGTGAAGCACAGGCTCGATGAAGTTGATCATTTTCATGCAGCAAGAATCCCGTAGGTCCCTCACTTCGTAGCAGATGACCCAAACTTAGAATGGCATTGTATGCTTGAGTTACCACTTCGCCTAATCGATATGGCCATATAAGTTGAACCAAAAGGGGCACTTTCGGACAATGGTCTCTTAAATGACTAAAAGAGATCAGAGAATACTAACAAGAATATGGAAAAAGTTGTAGTTAAACAAAAATAGCGCGTTTAGCTACCGTCAACTAAGTAACTGGTTACATTAGATTTCTAAAAGAAAGTTAAATATTTTGAACTTACGTAATGAGATAGGTACCAACTCCTGAGCCGGTACCCCCAGCAAGACTCATATTAGTAATAAGACCGTCAATCAAATCGCATTTTTCCAACTCCAAACGCAACTGATTACTCATTGCTTCTATACATGGCGGGCCATTAAGAAAATAACCATGGGCCCAATTGTTTCCTAAAATCATAAAAAATTCGAGTGAAAAGTATAGTGAGTACCAGAACCGCTTTTGGAGCAAACCGAATTTTTCGAAAACCGCCAATTGCATTGGCGACGAACATCGCTCTTAATATGACGAATAGCCTTTTCTTCGGTATCAATTTGAACACATCTAGCTTCGGGTGTGGAATCTAATAGTAAGATACTAGGTTGGCATAATAACAATTACCACACAGATTGAAGAAAGTTTCCATTGATTCATTGACATATGAGGTGTTGGATGAGGCATTGTGAACGGGAAGATCATTGAAATTGTCATTGTAAATTGTTTTAAAAAATTCGGAACCAACTTGATTACCACATTGTCCAATGAGAAGAAATACGATTGGCATTTACAAATATAAGACAAAATTGCTATCGCGTGGTCTTAAGTGATGAAGAATTATAAAACACGAATATTATAAAAGAAAAATCTTTAGTAACTAAGTCAATTTCAAGTAATCAGAGGGGTCATTTAAAAATAACAATGTAGCACAAGATTACGAGAGTCAATTTGTAAATTCAATGCGTGATTGTTGCCAATAGTTACCAGCCAAATGTGATCAATGAAATAATTATAAATTGATTATGGATGATAAATATATCACTTTTAGTGTCTTATTATCGTATCAATTTATTTAACTAAACGAAATAAAGTATGTATGCGTTAAATTAATGTTTTACAGCAAATAGTTAATAATAAATAAAGTTTTAGTTTTTTTAAAAAATTATTCAGAGATTTTTATCATTTTTTTAAACAAATGAAAAGTCCTATTTTGTTTTAATACACTATTTTTAATCGACTTTGGTGGGACGAAATTGCGAGCCGTCTTAGGTTGCTCTTCTCTTTTGCGTTTAGGTTACACTCCCAGCTTCGGTAATGCCTTCGAAGCATCTAACTGAAAAATCTAAGGTAACTTTTTACACCACCCATGGAGAACTTTGACATATTTTATTTTGCCTTTGTCTCATTTTCCAAATCGGTCTAGGTATTTCAAGATCCGGTCCATGGTCTTATCGAGGTGGATCAGATTCTTCTGCGATTCATTGATACTCCTGAGTTCCAGAGATTACGGCGATTACATCAACTTGGGCTAGCTAATCATGTTTACCCTGCCTGTACGCACACTAGATTTGAACATTGCCTTGGAACATATTATCTTTCTAAGCGATTGACTGACGCCATCAATGCTGATGACAATTGTGAAAAACTAAGTGCCAGCGAGAGTCTCAGTATTAGAATTGCCGCTTTATGTCATGATCTTGGTACGGCATGTTTAGCTTTCTTCATATGTATTGATATTTATTTCTTTTCGTATTATTTTATTATTATTCATTTGGTAACATTTGTCATATTATAACTAATACCAATCATGACCATGTTCGAGTATTTTAATCCTTTATTTGCACGTTGTGGTCTTTTCATATTTCCATTTAAATTTAATTTTGAATGGAATTAGATTTTGATCTGCATGGCTTTCATTAAATTATTGCTATTTTTCATTCACTTTAGGTCACGGCCCTTACTCTCATACCTGGGAAAAATTCCTTAGACAGGGTGGGACACAATACCAAATTTTTGAGGTAAGGCTCGTTGTTTCATTTACCATCCAAATTACATGTTTGCAAAGTCAGAGATCACGGATTCCATGATAATCGGTGCACAATCAGTGTTTGATGCCACAATACTATATTGATATACCAACCCTGCTTTACATTTCGATGTTATTCTGCCATTTAAGGTTGATTAACATACGACTTTCGATAAGCGCCCTCTTTCCTTGCGTGTAAATACGAAAATCCGAACTATTATGCTCTTACAATTCAGGCATGACTAAGCTCCGAATATTTTTCTAATTGATATCTGTTGGATAAAATCGACTTATCTGTACCTATTTTCACCTTCACAATTCCTGTCACTCTTGAAGTAATGATTTGAATTATTGAGCCAATTTTCACGTAACTCTGGATGACGTTAAACCTTTAACACCATGTAGGGCCGTACGGTTCTCTTTCAAAATGTGCTCATTGGTACCAGACCCTTAACAGAAAGTAAATCAGTGGGGGATTTTTTAGAACAAAAAATAATTCAGGCCTAAAGTGGTTAAATTGACAACAAGTATCAATGAATTAAACTTGAAAATATTAGGACTCAGTCTGTGAATAACAATACTTAGTGTTCGATTTCATCGATAATCATTCGGAGATTAGACAGTCTGATTAATCTCATCTAGATCGACTGCAGATGCGTATATTAGTTTTTTCAGATGTCATTTCATTATCGGTCTCCACTTTTTACTGTTCCGTCATTCTAGGTAAGTGTTGAATGAGCTCTTCTCGATCTTAGAATTTTCATTTTATTATCACTCTTCATAGTTGCTATTATAGTCTGGCGGGTAGTTTAGCTATAGAACAATATGCAAGCTCTATTTTTGTAGTTGTTCAAATTCACCAATAGGAAAATGTGTTTAATTTTCTATGGATGTTCTTGTTCTTTTCTATACAGCATGAAGAAATGAGTTGTCTGATACTACGAAGTATAGTGGCCAAAGATGAAATTCTGCAAGCGTTGCTGAAAGAAAAAGGGGTCGATTTGAATCTCGTATGTGACCTCATACGCGGTCATCCCTCTTCTGAAGTTGCTGTAAGTTCGTCACTTTAATTATACTTGTTGGGTCTGAACCTAATTGATCTACGCCGTTTCAGGAACAAATCGGTAATCGAAAGTTCATCTTTGAGGTGAGGTCAATTATTCGTATTTTCACCTTCCTGCCTTCTATCATTCTTGTCAATTCATTGTAATTTTCGTCTGTTTTGTAGATTGTTTCGAATGCCCAGAATGGAAATGATGTTGACAAATGGGATTACATAATGCGAGACTCGTTGCACGCTGGTTTTGGCCAGGGTTCAAGTGTTATTGAACTTGAGCGGTTGCTCCGTTTTTATCGTCCGGCTTTAGACCCTGCCGACGGTGCTTGGCATATGGCTTTCCGTACCTCGGAGCGAGAAAATGTTTTACGAATTTTTTCTCAACGTCTGAGTCTCCATCGTAAATTGTACTCGCACAAAACGACTCGTGTACTTGAGGCTATGTACTTGGACATTCTTAATGCACTTGACCCCATCTTACACCTGCGTGACCTATCTCTTCGTGCAGCTAATGGTGATAAGAAAGGTCTTAGTGAATTCCTGCTTCTTGATGAATACTCCTTGTGGGCTATGTCTACTTTTCAGTCACTCTTGTTGGTCACCTCAATCTCTCCCGAGATCGAGGAAAATTTAAACAGATGTAGCATCCTTCGTCAGCGAATTCAATTTCGTCAATTCTACTCCTTTGTTGGGGGTTTCGTAATGCATAAGTGGAAAACTCTGCTAAAATTGCAACCTTGTAGTAGGAGTCAACAAGATTTCACACGTGGCGATCGTCTTTTCCTCGATTCAACTTTTGCTGAAGCTGAGAGTAGGCTTTTAGGTGCTTTGGACGCTGAGGTATGTTGCCTTGTTTCAAAATTCTGACGTCTACCAATTTAAGGCTTTAGGTGACGAGAACAAGATCCTAGGAGAGATATTCGCCAAACTCCCATTCACTTCCCCTGTTAAGAGCATTAACGAACTCCGTCTAATCGTCATTCGTCAGTCCACCAATTCGACTGTTGGTCCACCGATATTCTATGCTTACGATTCACTGCCCCATGCTTATTCATTTTCATACCCCGTAAGCTCAGACAAAAAGGTATGCATGTGTGTGATTAACCACATTCGCGATTCTCTGTGTCCATTTGTTGCTCTATTATACAAACTACCTTCGTTGAATTGGTCATAAAATCGAAGAGGTTAAATGCTTAATAATATCGCAATTTGGCGCTATTGGTTTATATGTATATGCGCTTTATTCACCATCGCTTCGGTTAATTCATTGCATGCACTGAATATCTTGTGGTCCTTGTATTGCAGCGCATTTTTCTTTTTCGCTTTTCTAGTATGTTGAACTATATACCTGTTTGGTGCTTTGGACAGGACCCACGCAAACAGATCTTACGGTGGATTCATTGTTTAGAGGACCTGCGAAGGTGCCGGATTGCCTGACGAAGGCTTTCAAGGACTGGGTTAAAGAGAAAAGAGCTGCACCGTCGTGTCAGTAAAGACAATTAACCCAATCAAGAAGAGGGCTTTCGCTGACTGCACGATTTCCGATACACAAGCTCTCGTCTGTTAACTCAAATTGGACAAATTGTGATTATATCCTTGTTATACGATATAAGTAAAGCTTATATGCTTGGGAGTTTGACTTCTTATTTGAACTCAATGGTTTATGGGGATACTTATGAACGCGAGTACTGGGGAATTCCAAGTCTAAGACATTGTATTAGTCAAAAAACGATAATACAAGAATATGATTGTTATCTTTGTATTGCTTGTGTTGGGAGATCAAGTCACTGCCCGACTAATAGCCGTTTTTAAGCTGCCGAAAACGACGCACTCTTTAACTTAGGCATTTACTAGCTTCAGTATAAACATCTCATTGCAAAAGGGGTTTCCTTTAGGAATCCAGAGATAAATTCCCGGACTATTTAGAGCTGGAAGAAGTTTTTGAAGTGTAATTAATCGAATTCATGAAGAAGTAAAATGTTGTATTTGGTGTCTCTTGTTGTAACAATTGAAGCTATTTTATTTCGACTCTTGCCTTTTAAGAGTATGCCAACTAACACCTATGTAATTTAAGGCTAGAAGAGATCCTGTTACCTTACTTCATAGACTAATACAATCCAAAACATTTACTTTCAAGAAAATAGACGTGGCTTGTGGAAATTGAAGCAACGCCAGATTCTCGTTCAATTTTCTGCTTGTTGAATTTCAATTGCTTCTCAGCACGAAATATGATGATCAAATGGCTCTGTGAACTGTCCGAGATCTTTAATACTTAAGCTACGTATTGATCTCGTCTCTCTCTCTCTCTCTGAGCTAAGCTACCGCAAAACTATAAGGGAAACAGGGAATGTGCAATAGACTTACCTCCACGTGGTGCACCCTGGGCAACGTACACTCATACGGCGAAAAAGTCTATTACCTGGCAGTTGACTTCTGACTTCAAACTAGCATGACCCCACTGTATGTCATATTCGACTACTTACACAGTACTCATCTCACCTTTTTTCCACCTTATCTACTTTCGTCTTAGATACACTCTTCTGTCCCCCCCCCCTCTTGAATTTTTTACACTTTGATGTTCCTTCCCCTCTGTGAAGCCTGAAGTCAACTAAAGGGCTAATGATGACAATCAAAGCACCTGTCATTTGATATAAGGATAACAAGGGAAACAGACGTACGACGAAAAATGCCCTTATTTTAGATGACAGGGCACTTGGTCATTATAATACATTGGAGGGACGTCGATTGGTGATTGGCTGGGTGTTCACTGCCCTCACGCCGCACTTGCTTACTGTGTGACAAGTTGCACGGCCGCACCTTCGAGCCTGTCTGAGTGCGCATGAGACTCCTTTGTCCAGCGTTATGCGCTCCACAAGTATGACCTCTCAACGTAACTGGTTTGAGTTAACCGGCGAGGCATCTTAAATTGTCATTACGACTTAAACTGAGTACTTTAAGAGAGTGTTTAGGGAGAGCATCTTCAATTCTATGGAAGGAAGGAAGGAAGGTAGAAATCCTAATTAACTGGTCGAAAGTGGCAAGAACTTATCAACACTTGCTCCTCCGTTTACGCTAAGTGATTGACAAGAGAAATATCACTATTCACCTTGTAATTTAATGTCGTTCTCTTTTGCTAATGTTGGCAGTGGTAATTTAATGATTGCCACCTGTGTATATCAAAATAAAATCAACAAAATATTCAGATAGTGAGAATAGAGATACTATTGCTGCATCTACGATATGCTTCAAAACAATTCCCGGTAAACGCTTCGATTGTAGACCTGGTAACCATACGAATTGCATTCTCGTCTCAATTCACCGACTAAAAGTATTCTCTAATTGGTCGGATCATGAATGATAATTAATCACTAGACTTGACAGCCTAGTTTAAATTGTGATCGAGCGCGTTCAAGTGCATTCTTGCAGAATGGACTATTCATCATAAAAAAAATACCCAAGACTCCAGTACTGCCCTCGATATTTTTTAAAAATTTACAAAATTGATCTCGTTTTGAGGACATTAGGAAGATTAATTATTCATAAGCCATTACTGTCTCATAAATCCGTCGAGTGCCCAGCTTATGGTATTTACTCTTGAAAGTATTTGTGTTTGTAGTGATTTGACACCATTTTTGCACCGCACAATGATTTTCAAACTTCGTAGCGTGCTGAGACTGAAAATGTGAATGAATTAGCAGGGGTAAATTTGTTAGGCATGTGCTCGACTCAAACACCCGCTCAACCGGACAAGTTAAGTAATTATGGTTGGTTGATAACAAATTGATTAAATACTCTGGGTTATTTATGCTCACTATTCGTCAATACTTTAACCCCGAGCTCATGAATCTACCTTCCAGATGTCTATTTCTATGAAGGCTTAAAGAGGTGTGACAGTTGTCTCTACTTTTGAAGTTGGTTCAGAGATCTGATCACTCCGCACCAAACCAGTAGTTGCAATCCACTGAGTTAGCCCAAATCAGAACTAGAGTAGAGAATATTCAATAAAGAGTGTTTACTATTTCAAAAAACTTGTATTTGAAGCTATCGCACCTCATTTCCATAGCATAGTTACTACCACATTTGTATCCATTTGACTATTAATAAAGTCATTTGTTAATTTCGCTTGATATTAGCATAAAGTTGACCAAGCATTCGGGTGACCTAAGTGCATTAATGGGCAATAAACCAAATTTGTGTATTTGTAGTCACAGAAGGGGTCAAGGAATTTGTTGACGAGAAATGCATTGATAAAAATTCACAATGATTTTAGAGCCATTTAAGAGGATGCTATATGGCTTGAATCTGTCATGAGAACACCTGTCATGGGTGTATTTTATGTGTTTATTCCCACAGGAACAACTGACAATAGACATTGAGATCATGCACTTCCGTAGCAGTTCCCAAATTATCACATTGTGCGAAATATGTGAGTTACCCTAAACGTGAAAGGGTGTCTATCTTTTGATAGTTTTTTTACAGGAACTAGTACCTATAGACACTGAAGCTGCTTACTCTTTCCACTTTCTTACAGTTCCCATTTGGGGCAATGAATTATTTGCTCCTCTTTTATTATTTTTACTTCAATAGTAATGGGGCGTGAGATAGACTTACGTGGGCAATGTATACCCATACGGTGATAAAGTCAATAAACTGGCTTCTAATTGACTTCTAATTTCAAATTATCATGACCCGAGAGTATGTCATATTCGACCACTTACACAGTACTCACTTGATCTTTTTCTCTACTGTTATGCCTGTCTGTCTCTTTTACATTTGTGAATCGCTCTTCTGTTCTTGCTCATGACTTTTTCTCACTGTGATATTCCTCCCCTCCGTAAAACCCGAAGTCAATAAAAGGGCCAATGATAACGATCAAAACGCCTGTCATTTGATGTAAATAAATGAATAAATAGAATTCAATAGTACCACCATTAATTTATTATTTGTCATATGTGTTTGACCTGACTGCCCCCCCCCGGCTACTCCTTCTGGCTTAATTCTATGAGAAAGAACATCTAAAGGGTGCTTTTTATTGATACTAACATGCATACCCTGATCTTCTGACCACTTGGAGCAAACAAATTGACATGACAACTATATTGTGGTCCCTTGCACTAATTGCCTCTTTAAGTGTATTTATACATCTTTCTGCTCAGTCACTCTCAAATAGTTATATGTTTGGAAAAAATATAAGAAAATCAACAGGCTTTAGGAGAAAAGGGGGCAGTCGGTTCAAAATTCCTCATAATAGACGTGGTGAAAAATAAGTCAAACTGGTAGAATTAAGCAAACATCCATGAGACAAAGGTGCACATCTACTTCTGTAAAGTCCCAAGTAACGGGTTCGATGTCTGTCGGTGTCCATGGAATGGCCAACCGCTCAGATTAGGTCCGAGGGATGAAGTGAGGTGAAAGTATTTGAGCGTCTCACCGGAGTCTCCATGTTGCTGAAAACTGCTCAAGATGGGCAGTAAAATTGCTTTCATATACGGGCCTGGGAGTTATTAATCGAGCAACATTGCCTGGGTGACCAGAAGGGGAAAAGATGCGTAGTCGTGACCTGATCTCTGCTGACCTGAGCTTAATACATTCGTTGTTTATCTAACCTAGATACCCGCTCTTTCTAGTTTACTTTGGTTCATTCTAATGAATCTAATGGCATAAATGGATTTAAAAGGACACCCAAATGATTATAATTTCAGAGTTATATCGCATTTAATTAAATTAAATTATCATCATAGTTGACTTTCCTTGCTTTTACCACACCTAGTAATTAGAATACTAGGGATAACGGAGTTAGCTAACCACACTATTAAGGAGTAAGTCTTGTGTGTAGCCAAGCAAAGTAAACATTGCTGAACCAACTGATAATAATGGCCAATATATATATATATATATATATATATATATATGATTTGTCATGTCAATATCGTTGCCTATTATTCCCTCATCAATGCCAATTAATCAAGGCCACAACTCTATCAATAAGGGATACTCAACCAAACTTAATTATCTTCCATGGGAAGATTGGTGATACGGTCTGGAAATTCACATAGTACTACATGGATCGGGAAGTGCGATAGACTTACCTCCACGTGGTGCACCCTGGGCAACGTATTCTCATTCGACAAAAAAGTCTATTAACCGGCAGTTGACTTCTCACTTCAAACTGCCATGATCCCACTGTATGTCATATTCGACTACTTCACAGTAATCACATTACATTCTTTCTACCTTTGTGTCTGTCTCTTTTACATTTTTGAAATTCACTTCTGTTCCCCCTCCCCCCACCCTCTCGACTTTTGGTCATTTTGATGTACCTTTCCCTCTGTGTAGCCTGAAGTCAATTAAAGGGCTAATGATGATGACTATCAAATAGCCTACCATTTGATACGAATAAATAAATAAGTATTACATGGATCTG